GCAGAGGGAAACAGAAATAGTTGACATGATGATTTTTTATCTCTTTGCTGTTTGAACTCTCACATGGCCAGAGATACTAAACTGAAATGAGAGGTCCCCCAGGGTTATCCATGGGTCTCCCCCGAAAGACTCTTTAAATTGACAATCACTATAACTCTGTCACTCATAGGATTTAGATAGCAGCTCATTTGTGTGTATATGTTTGCTTCTTTTAACCTGTAAGTAACTCTCTTTATTAATTAGAACAATGGAATAAGGACTAGAAGAGTCCCTGGCATTGCTTGGATCCATCAAAGCAGGACACTAGGGATGTGGGGGGGTGCAGGAGTCATGGAAGGGGGTTGGGATGTGCTCAGGGCAGGAGGCTACAGGTGTGTGTGGGGATGTGTGTGCAGGATTCAGATTTGGGGGGGGGGGCAGGCGGGGCTCAGCACAGGAGGATTACAGGAGTTGGAGTAAGAAGCCCATTATTTCTAATATATTCCAAAATAACAGGTTTGCTGTGTAGACTTGCACTATGTTATTTTGGAATAGCTGATGTTGTTTTGGATTAATGCTGCTGTGTAGACATAGCCTGAATATTTTCTCTCAGACCACTTTTTATGCATGGAAAAGCTTCCAGTACAATTGACACTGCTGCTATCTTACCCACCTTCAAATCCCTCTTTGAGGTTCAGCTGGCTTATGACTAGAACTGGGTGATAATTTTCTGCCAAAATACATTTGGTGACTTTGAAAAGTTTCATAAATTTGTATTGGTTTTGCCAAATTGATCATATCAAAGACTCATCTAATCTTCCTTCAAAAAAAGGGAAAAAAATCTGTAATAATCAAAATGATTTGATTTTTATCCTCGAAATGACTTCATTTGAAATTTACTTCAAATTTATTTTTAATAAATTGAAGTTATTAAACTCTGAAATTGACTGAAAACATTTTGTTTAACACTAATAAATTTTTCCCTTTTTTTTTTGAATTGCCAGTAGACCAAAAAAATCCATTATCTTCACAATTCTGCCTACAATGCCCTGCCAGCTGATCAGCTGGTAAGCTGTGTCTGCTCCTCAGAGTGTGGAACTTTCTTGTTACATTGTTACCTCATCCATCCCTTCCCACTCTTCTGTTCTGTGCATTCACCTGTTCTGTCTTGTCATAAAATAAGATAGTGATGTTTTTGTATCAGAAGGCTGCTCATACCTGCCCAGTACCTGGCATAATGGGATCCTGATGCCTGAGCCAGACTGGGGCCTCTGATGGCAGTCATTGGAATTGCCAGCCACCACAGCGAGCCTCTTTAGGCTTGTTGCCTTTCCCACCTTCCCTATCTCCTCCCCGCCACACACCCCTGCACACCAAATGAAGAAGCCTTTTTTAGTTTGAAAAAAAACCTGTCATTTTTTTATTTGGGGGATATAAAATGGAAGGGACTGGGGAAAGAATCTGACCTCATGGCTGGCTTGCCTGCTCCTCCTCCTCCTCATCCTCCTCCACAATCCCGCTCTTGTGGAGGCTGATGCCAGGCGTGTCCTGGCTGGAGTTGATGACGATGCAGCAGTGAGGTGATCGGCACCCCCCATGATGGTGTCCAACTGCTCATAAAAGCGGCAGGTGTGAAGTGCTGCCCTGTATCGGGAACTTTGCTTCCTGGCCTTTGTCTGGGCCTGCTGGAGTGCCTTAATTTTCATTTGGACCTCCTGGTGTGCCCTTTGTCTGTGAGGCTGATGGCCACCTGGTTGTATACCTCTGCACTGCGCCTCTTGGTGCAGAGATCCTGGATGTTGGTGTCCTCACCCAAGACCTTGATAACATCCCGGATCTCTGCACCAGTCCAGGCTGGTGCCCTCTTTTGCCCCTGGTCATAGGCATCAGAGGTTGTTGAGGGTGCATGGGCAGCCACGGTGGGGGGAGCACAGAGGGAGTGCTGGGGTCAGCCATGGCATGGGTGCTGTATGGCACGGGCCTAGCAAGACTCACCTGGTGCCACAAGCCATTTCCCTTCTGCCTACAAATTTAAAGTCTACAGGAGAAGGGGAGGAGTGGTGTTGTCAGGAGTGTGGCCAGAGCAGCCTCAAGGACAGCTATGAGAGGCCTCTGGTGGCCAATCATTTTGAAACAAAAGCAGCTGAACATCCACACTAACTCTATTTTGAAATGGCAGTTTTGAAATAAGCATTGTTTCTCATGACAGGCAGGAGTTATTATTTCAAAATAACAAGCCCGTTATTTCAAAATAATGGGCTTGGTAGTGTCAAAGCTTCGCTTATTATTTCGAAATAAGGGGAATTATTTCAAAATAATTCCCTAGTATAGACCAGGGCTTAGAGACTAACCAAAATATATAGAATTATTCATCTGATGAAGTGGGTTTAACCTACAAAAGCTCATGATTCTGTATATTTTGGTTAGTCTCTAACGTACGTCTACACTGCACGCTTATTTTGAAATAAGCTATTCCAGAATAGTTTTTCCGAAATAGCTTAATTTGAAATACCACGTCTACACTGCAGAGAAGCCTCAAAATTACTCCAAAGCAGGCTCCCCTAATGTAGACATGCTATCTCGATTTGGAGCCTTTGGAGGCACTGGGGTGGAATAACTTAGAATGGCCCAGGTGAAGGGCTGTTTTAAAATAGCAGCAGTAGAGCGTCCACACAAGCCTTATTTCAAAATAGCTATTTTGGAATAGGTGTTACTCTTCATAGAATGAGGTTTATAGATTTTGGAATAAGCTGACCATTATTTTTGAAATAATGGATAATGCTAGTTATCTCGAAATAACGGTGCAATGTAAACACATCCTGAGGTGCTACAGAACCACTTGTTTTTAGCTGCAAAAGGGATTGAACATTGCCTGATCTGCTGTCTGCCAAGCACTGTGCAGGATGTGGTAATAATAGGTCTAGCAGAAGATTGGGGGTAGGACCATGGGAAGGCATCTACCCCCCCACACTAGATTTGACAAAAAGATGCAACATGTAAAGTAGTAACTAATAACTAATTATTATTTCTGTCATCAGCATGAATACAAGAAATTTTATGTGTTAAAGCCAGTGCTTATAGTGGGTTTTAAAGATATGTTAAAGTTCATGTAGGGTCTTTAAAAAATTATTTTTAATTTGTTTAATTGATTGTAGCAATAGATGTAGTCTTTATGTAAACTTGGCTTTAAACCCTGCACATATGCATGTGGGAACAGAAACACTATATACTACTATCTTTTGGCAACTAAACATCTGTCTTCAACTTTAATATAGTTGTCTGTTCTCATTTTATTTAAAACAGACAAAAGTACTAAATACCAATTTTGCTTTGTAAAACATATTATGTAAAACACTCTATTTTCCAAAGCTTGTCAGCCACCTATCTTGATAGGCTTTTTAAAGGTTGTGTGCCTGTTTTCTTTTTCCCATATTTTTATTGCCATGGATTAAAGTCAGGTTATTTTTATGCTCCCAGAACTCTGATTAGTTAGATGAACAGAGGTGCTTTTGGTATTGATGATACCATTATATACTACACTAAATCCATTAATAAATTAACAGTACAGCTTGCCTGTTTATAAATGATCTTTACTGGGGGTTGTTTAAAATGAAAAAACACTGCTGATTGCTTGTAATCTAATCCAGTGAATTACACAGGTTTTTATGCATGCAAGGAAAAAACCATTAGCACTACCTGAGAGGCTTTTATTTTCCAGCAAGATTTTGAATGTAACAGAAATAAGGTTGTTAAAAATAGGAAGCTGGAAAAACTGATCACGAATTTTGTGTAGAATAACAATTTATATGACCTTACTGTCATCAGAGATTAAAATATGTGCCTATAGGCATAGTTATCCCTTTATCCCGTGTCTCTAAAAAGAGTAATAGGTATGTTTTTTAAAAACTGTGAATATCTATCATATTTGAAAGTTTACTTGCATATTGATGGCTTGTCCTATAAAGAAAAACTAGAATTTTCCTGAAACAATAAGAGTTGAAATTGAATTAGACAGCACAATTTCATAACAAAAGGCTGTAAACTGCAAAGTAGTGCAAGTCTTTATTTTTGTCTTTCCTTGTCAGCTTTTTGCATTGTTGATCGATTTGCTGTAGTGCTGTTGTCAGTAGTTCACCAATAGTCTGATAGGATCTCATGACTGGCATTTTGCCTTTTTAAAAACCATCTCCATTGCTACGGTAAAGAATTTGAACCTCTAAATCAGCTGTGATAGCTGCTAGCCTCTTTTATTATTATTAATGTGCTAGTAGGAGAGAAATATTGAACAGTAATTAGGAGCCAGTAAATTGCTACTGGAATAAACTTGAAAAGGTCAGTTTCCAGGCAAGAAGCCTTTCATATATGTTATCTTTATTTTATTTCTTATATCATAGTCATTGTTAATATAAAAAAAATCCTTGTCAATTATATTGACAAATAAGGATAAAAAAGTTACTTTAATGTATAGTCTAAAAGTAGCAGTAATTATGTAAGTCACAATGCAGCAAAGTGATTGCTACTAAATTTAATTTTAGCCTTTTAAATTTGTTGATAACTGTGAACTTCTAGTTTTTGTTAAGTGTGGGAAGAAATTTGGCTATTTTTAAACATGTTTATTAAGAAATGTGTGAAATGTGTTCTGTAAGTCATATATATAAACTTTAGACCATTTTTAAAGAGGCAGATTTAAATTTGTGCCAATTTTTTTTATAAAGCTGAGAACATTGATATGATGGAATGTGAAGGCAACTTTGAAAAAACTGACATTTTGGTTGATGGAAGACAATTTTAATGAATTCAAGAAAATATTCCCAGAGAGAGAATATTCTTATAGAGGGAATGGTGGTGGTGGTGTGGAAAACAGGAGAGTGTATGTATTTGGGGATCTTATCTAACACTTTGGACATTTAATCACTTGTATAATTTACTATATTCTTTCAACCCTTAGGTATTTATAAACAATAAATGGGACTTGGAAGTAAACAAAGTATTGAATTGCTTATCGCTTATTTTTCTAATAGGCATCCCTGCCAGGGTCTTGTTATGGACAATGCAAATTCTGGAGAAGTAGGCCAAGAATCAAATATATTTTCACATCAGCCTCTTTTGATCTTCCTAAGGTAAATTTTCTTTTCAATAATATTAGTCTGCGTATGTGTGAATAGCATATTTATCTATCTGAGGTGTATTTCTACTGATGTTTTTATATTTTAAGCACTCTTTGTACATTTCTCACTGATATAATCTTTGATGTCATCACAAATCTATACATTCAATATTAAATGAACACAATTTAAAAAAAATCATGTTTTCATTAGGCCTGTGAATCCTGGTTTTCTTTTCAAGGGAGGAGGGGAAAAAATTAATCAAGCTCTTGAGTTAACAAGATGCCAGCTAAACATCACTGCTCAATCACCTGCTTCTAATCTCTTTCCTAATTTTTGTTTATGCATTTTAAGCTCCTTAGGGAAGAGATATTGCCATATATGGATATGGGTATATAGAGTATCCACTACATATTTGGTGCTATGTAAATAGCATTATACTCAAAGGCAAAGCACGGAAGTACATATGCTTTGTTATATAACTTGTTAATTATAAAAATATCTTCCATTACTTTCCAGTGTTCATAAATCACACATATGTATGTGTACTGTGCTGTTAACTGTTGCTAGTGACTTTTGATTCCAAAATGTCAAAAATCCTGAGCTGTCAATAATACTTGGTATCCTATATCAAATATGCATTTGACTTAGGCTATGACAGTTGGAAAATTAAATAAGCTGATTAAACAAAACTTTCCTTGTGAGGAGACTTCCACTGAAAATCACTATGCAATAATTATTTTAAAGGCAATATAGAACACAAATTTAATATCTTATCTATAGTTGAGATATAAATCATACATTCTAAACCACATGGAAAATCCACGCCTTTCTAAAAACAGACATTGTACAGGTTGTACCTCCCTAAACCAGGACTCTCTGGTTTGGCAAAATCCATTGATGTTTCTGGACCAGAGAGCCCTGAAGCAAGGGTTGGGGAGACAGGGAGCCCCAAGGCACAGATGGGGAGTTTCAGCCCCAGTGGCAGTGGGATTGGCAGGGGCTCCAGGCCCGAAGGAGCTGGCAGCAGGGAGGGATGGCAGGCTGGGAAATGGTGGCAGGGGATCTCCTCTGGTCTGGCAAATTCCCTCATTCAAGACTGGTCAGATCCCGAAGGTTGCCAGACTATGGAGGTCCAACCTGTATTTTATGAAACTCATCACCCTTTATTGTGTAGTTTCAGCTGTCATCTCTTCTAGTGCAATAATGTCTTTTAACTACCAAAATCTTTAATCCAAGATGGGTTTCCCTTCCAAAACCTAGCAACATCATGTCTGGATCCATGCATTTGCTCTGTAATTTAAAACTTCACTGGTTATAGGCAACTCAGGTTTCCGCAGTAACCCAACTGAAAAAAACCCAACCAAACAACCCTTTTGAAAGGATTCCTTTTAGCCATTTTAATAGTGACTGCAGGAATTTTGCCTTGACAAAAGATGGACATAAAGAATATACCCTTATTTTACCATATTTTTTTCAAGGCACCTCCTGGTAGTTATGTGAAATCTTTAAATAAAGTGTGGAGTTCCTAAGCATTCTGTACAGCAATTTTATCTGAGGGATCTTCCAGTTGTAGCTGAAATATTTCAGGCTTGATTTCTATTCTTATCATGGATACGCTCTGATTGCAAGCACTAAGATATTCTGTAATATGTATGTATAAATTCACAGTTACAAGAAAGTGTCAGATAAGTGAATGAAAAAGATACCTATCTATTAGTAAATGAAAGCTTGCTACTGCATTAATCTGTTCAGATTCTTACCATTATTGATTCTTTTGTTTAGTGTCTGAGTATTACAAGTAACATCTTCTGGAGTTTTGGATTCTTCATTTCTACCCTGCCTTTAATCTAGCTAGCTAGCTAGCAAGCAATGACTATTTTCAGTAGGTTTGTGCCACTGTAGAATCTTGTAATCTGCAGTTATTAGCTGTTTCTTTAAAAACTCAGGGTTATATTTAATCCTCTTTTGCAATAAATTGAATCAGACCCTGAATGAAGGAATGCTTGAGAGAGAGAGAGACTGCTAAATGTCTATAAATATGGAAGGTACGATAGCATATTGTAATATAAAGGTTTTACTGATGTGACTTTTGGATAGGTGCATGGCTCACCACCGGGTGAATCCATGGTGGAATGATGCAGGTCAAAGCTGCCATCTTTTTTTTCCCTCTAGAATCTCACTTTTCTTTTTTTAAAGAGTAGTCTCTAAGGGTATCTACACAGTAGCAAATACCTTGAAATAAGCTAGGCACTTTGCGCAACGCAAATTGCGTAGCTTATTTTGAAATAGGTTATTTTGAAATTTGCCACTGTCTACACAGTACTCATTTCAAAATAAATCACTATTCTGGCATCTTCCTTAAGCTACATGCAATGAGATTTACAGGAAGCCAGAATAAAAAGCCCGTTATTTCAAATGTACTTCAAAATAATGGACGTGCTGGTAAGACGCGCAGAACGCTATTTTGGGATAACATCTGTTATCCCAAAATCGCGCCACTGTGTAGATGTGCGTTAAATGTTATGAATGCAAATGTAAGCTTGAAAATGTGAACCAAGTATGACTTCTGAGAGATGTCTTACTATGTGTGCCCAGAGCTTGAAACAATACCACTGAGAAATGGATAGTATTGGGGCCTGTTGGCAAAACGTAGATGTCAACACTGTTATCTATTTAGAAGCTGATCAGATCATTTATAAAAGGAAAGGGAGGGTACTCTAAAGAACTGTAAAATCTATTGAGAAGGCCATCTCATGATGGTGCCAGTAGCTGACCAGAATTGGGAGAATACTATCACTTCAAAATTGACATGGCAAACTAAAACAGTGAGAGGAGAGGAATGGAGCCCCTGAGGGGCATCTCCATTTCAAAATGGCTAGAGTCATGGATCTGCTGTGATGGAGAAATGTAAGGCCTTCCTATCTTCCTATCTCTAGTGGCTGCTGCTTCCTCCATTAGACTGTCTGAAGGCTCAGACAGATATCTCTGCTGCAGTTATACCGTCACGCAATTCAAGCTTTCTTAGCAATCATGAGAGCCAATCTTACATTCTGATATCACATGAGTCTGAGTGAGAAGACTCTGTGCATATGCTGTCTCTCTCTTTTTTTAACCCAACCATGACCCTGGTTGTATATGAACATTACTAATAGGAACTGACGCTTGAGGAGCCAGCAGAGAATGTGTGATCACATTTTGAACATCTGCACAAGCTTTTGTGAATAACGTTTCATAGGTAGCAGGTTTAAAACAGACAAAAGGTAGTTTTTCTTCACCCAGAGCACAGTCTACTTGTGGAACTCCTTGCCAGAGGATGTTGTGAAGACTAGGGCTTTAACAGGGTTTTAAAAAGAACTAGATAAATTCATGGAGGTTAGTTTCATCAATGGCTATTAGCCAGGATTAGTAGGATTGGTGTCCTGGGCTAGATGTACCTTTGGTCTAACCCAGTATGGCTATTCTTATATTCTTATGTGACATCCCAAGTAGGTGAAACTTGACTTGAGGGCAAGCCTGGTCAAAGTACTATAGTTTTATTTCCCAATTTGAGCTCTTCTACATGAAATAATTTAGGTAGGGATCCTTCTATCTGCAAGGGAGAAGGAAGAAAGTTTACCAAAACAAAATGTAGGGCAGGGTTTGAAATAGACCTGGTCAGAAAATAGGCTTTTTTAATAGAAATTTTCAGTTTTCTAGTGAAAATTCAAAAAAATTTCAGCTAAAGATCAAACTGTTTTGATTCAGATATATTGCAATGCTGCCTTCTGGGAATTGCTGTTTGTATATCGCATGTTTCCAATCCTCTCTGTAAGCCTGGCTCCCTAGTTGAACTATATCCACCATAAGGTATGATGTCTTCCACTGCCCACCTTTTCCCCACTCCAAGGAAGAAGCCTCTGCCTATGGTACACCTTTGAAGATGTAGTCTCAACCAGACATTGGCCTATAGGGAAGTGGTTGGAGGGTCAATGAATTACAGGGTTATCACCTCTGTATCATGCTGAATTGGAGGGTGATTACCCCTGTGGCATGCTGATTTGTCTTGACTCACAAAATACTTTCTGAGGTACACGGGGTTTGGGCTTTCTGGGAAGTTGGAGACGTTTGGTTACAAAGAAGCTGGAAGAAGATGATGCACTTTGCAAGGAAGCTTTCACTGAGAGAGACCTACCTGTGGTAAAAGTTTGAATGTGGCCATTGATGAGGACATCTGTGTAGAGCCCTTGAGCTTCCACATAGGTTTAAGTGAGCAAGCCATCCTGCCCATTCTCTGTAGTAGGCGGGGGCGAGGGGGAGGAGGGAAGGAGAGAGAGAATACTGTGTATCCCTTTCCCTTATCTACTTGTAATAGGAAGATTAGGAGGAAAGTTTATTGAGTTACCGCTTGTGAGTTTTCTGCCCTGTAAGGTAGTTTTCTCAGTGTCAGAGTGAGTCTGGCTCTAAGTGGTTGCCTTTTCTTTCTTTTGTCTTTTATGCTCCTTTGAACTTTATTTTGGTAAAGTGGGTAGGTGGGAATTGTCTTTCCAAGTTATATAGTGCTTTTGGCATCATCTCTTTCTCTTCTTTTATTAACTAGAATTCATCATGAAACAGTATGAAAGCTATACTCTAGAGATGATAATAGACCCACACACTTTATGTGAGAAGTGATTAGACATCTCCTCTGAAGAACATTGACAGACATCACAATCATTCTTAATCTTTTTATTTTCATAAACTTACAAAATGGGGGAGAAATATTGGTGACTGTGTTAGCTTATACAATATTTTAATAAAGAAATGTCAGTAGTCACAGGTTTCTTGCAGAATTAAACATGAAGTCCTTTAAGCAACCATTAAACCATTTGTGTGTTAGAACTAATGAAGATTCATAAAGGCCCAAATAGCTGAGCCATATTGGATTATGATAACAGAATTCAATCCTTTAATAAACATCTCCCAATCAGGAAAGGTGATATGTGCTATATTTCGGCACTAGGGTCAGTTCTGGGGAGGCAATGAGATGGTTTGCT